CTCCTCTGTCTTATATTAATATGAACCATTTTAACTAATTTGGACTGAAGGAATTTGGTCATGTTTTGTAATTAAGTAATACAAAGAAGAGATTTTGTCATATTTGGTCCATTTATGTCTCAAAACAACAACGATAATAATTTTTCAACCTGTATATGTCCAAGTCATTGTCTAGGTAAGACAACAGTTATAATTAATTCTGTGGCCGGATAGTCAAAGAAGTTAACAGCTATTTTTGAGCCCTAGGAATTGTTTGGCTCTCTTATAAGTTGCTCATTCAGGGGAAGCCAAATGAGAGGGCGTGGGATCTAGGGTGAGACCCTGAAGCTGGGAGTGGGAAGCTAGAAACCAGCATTTGCCCTGGAGGTGAGCAGCAAGGGCTGCAGACACCTGGGACAGCTGGAGCCTCTGCTGAAAGCTCTGCTAAGGGCTGTCCACGTTCTGTGAGGGGCTGCGTCTGAGTTGTATTGAGGGAACAGAATTAGACCCCAGTCCAAGAGAGAGAAGCTGGGTAGGAACTCCAATGCAGGCAGCTTGAAGCTGGGATTAGGGTTTAAGGCAGGCTCCTGATCCCAGGCTCACGCCCGTTTTCCTGCCACTGCAGCTCAGGGAAGGGTAGTGTCCCAGCTGAAGGCTGTGGGGTCTTGGCTCAGGGCATCTTGCATGCTTGCATATGTTCACCCAGAACCTGGGGTAGCAGCGGAGCCTGCAGCTGTGACGAAGGAGGTGGGACCATAAGCATGTGGGGTCCTAGAAGGGCACCAAGTGGGCCAGTGTGTGATTCAGTGTTCAGTGGACACCATTCCTTCCCTCCAGTGGGTTCACCTTTCGTCGCTGGCTGAGATTTAGGTTCAAGTGGCCTTCCCCCAAATTGTGGGGCTGTTGTAAAGAAACCCTCATTGAAGTAGAGGGTCACTTTTTAAAAGTGAAACTCGAATGATGAGTCACTCCAAAGGCCCAGGACCATCAGCATGAGGCCAGTGAGGCAGTTGTTTGCAGGGGCCCTTGTCTTCACTGCTGCCCAACCAGTATGTCCATTTCACCACAGCCAGGAGGCGGGCTGGATGCGTTTACAGCTACTTTACGAACGCTCATTTAAAGATATTGCATCTTTTTTCCTTGGCACCTATATCAAAATAAAAGTATGTTTATTCTATCAGCAAGTTGCTAATTGTGTGAGTGGAGCAGATCACCACTGGAATGGGACACAGTCCAACAGAACAGAAATGCCACAAAGGCTAAAACGCCCGCTACTTCCTGAAGCATTTGCAAGGTGACTTTGTGGCCTAGTGAGTTTCACCTGTTGGACAAAGCTGTGTATGATGTGACTGATAAGCTGGAAACTCCACTAGCTTTACTTCATGGCTCTGAGTCTAAACAATGAGATTTGGGGGCTGTTTGCAGCTTTACCTTATGGAAGAAATTCTAGTCAGTCTCTCTCTCTCTCTCTCTGTCATACACACACACCGACACACATACACAAAGCACACAAAGCAGAGGTTTAAACATCTTCATCTGTACATCTAGGATGCAATAGTTTTTGAGCATAACTTAGCTCTTTTTTGAGTGCATATTTGAGTTAATGGAGTTCAAGAAAACATTGTCTTCTCCCTAACGTGGCGTGTGGCAGGTGGCAGGATGAGATCACACAGGGTGGCAGTGATTGTTGCTTTCTCTCAGTGAGACTGACCAGTGTTAACACGAGCACAGTGTTTGGTGCAGGGTGCAAGACACCAGACATAATGAAAATTGTCCCCTTCTTCGCAAGCTTGGAGCTCATCACAATTTCCAAAGCAGCGTCCAGGCTTTGCAGGGCATGGAGGCAGGTAGCAGGCCAGGCAGGACCGAGGGCCTTACTGATGTGTGGAGGCTCAGGCTGGAATCCTGGTCTGTGTGTGTGTGCAGGAAACACACACAGCCAAGTTGGCAGTGCCTGCTTTTGCGTGTGTGTGTGTGCATTTGTTTGAACTTTGACCCTCATCAGTTCCAACAAGACAGGGTGACAATTCCAACAAGAGAGGGTGACAAGATGACTAGAGCCCATCAGTGTTGGCAAAACCAATTTTTCTGACTCTCGCCAGAAGAGTTCCACACTCTTATTGACCTCTGTTTCCTTGGATGGGGAACATTTAGTCAACACACAACTACCGCGGGCTCAGTTCCCTGCTGATCTGCAATTTCCGACTTGCTGATTGGTCCATCAAGTGTCCAGTTGTAAGTGCATACTGGGGTTAAAGAAGTCTTTTCAATTGAGCTGTGATGTCCCTACAGCGTGTCAATGTCTGTTTATGTTCAGGTCTCTGCACAGACAGGCTTCTTGCTGCTCCTGGCACACCAGGGTTTGGGACTGATTGGCTAATCCACTGCCTGGCATATCTTCTGTGAAAGGTTTTTCTTTTCTGTAGAGCTGAGCATCACCATGGAAAGCCTAATTTCCCTTTTGTACACAGGGATGAGTAGGTCTGAGTGCTGGAATGGTCCATCAGTCACTTTAATAATAGCAACCTGCTGCGAGCTCACAGGATGGCCTCTGTGGCCACTGATGCTCACCTGCCCTCGGCCACACCACGGATGGAGAACCTGGTGGGTCCATGTCACCTGGAATGTGAACACCAGGCAAGCATGGCACTCTTGGCCCGGCCCACTCCAGTTGCTGACTGCTGGGGTCCTGGGGTCATGGCCTCATCCTTCTTCCCTCTCCTGCTCCCCACACAGACCGTGCTGACGGTGATCTGAGAGCAGCCAGGCAGAGCATGGGGCTCTGCTGTGGGCTCAGCCTTCGTGAGGCCCCCAGGTCAGCAATATACAGAATTCCAGATGCAGAACTTAGACATTCCTGAAGGATTGTCCCGTCGGATTCTCCCACCTTTTTCCTGGGAGGGGCAGCTTGTGGGAAAAGGGAGATAATTAACATACCACGAGGGGCTAAAGGGGTAGCTTTTACAGCATGTATATTCCAACACAATTTTAAAAAGTTTAGAGAAAACCGAAGTGCTCACACTGTTCCTGTCCTCTAAGGCAGCAGGAGCTTGTCCCCACATGGGCAACAGGGGAGGCCAATCTTTTTATTGTAGACAAAGGTGTATCAATTATGTCCTAAAGTTGCTTCAATAGATATTGAGCATATCTTCTTGGATTCCTAAAACAACCCCATGGGGGAAGTGTTAGATCCTCCCTTCTCTGTCCAGGATCTGAGAGGCTAAGTCTTGGACTGAAGCCAATCCCATACCCCATCCCTGGGAGCTGCGGTTTTGGGCTCCGCCTGCGGAGTCTACCCCGGGATCCTGCTGTGCCCTCACAGAGCTACCACTTTCCATCTGGGCTGACTTGATTCTGACACATGCTGTCAGCACTACCACCGGGGCCATTTCTATCTCCAGAGACCGGGACGCAGAGCTGAGCTGAGCATTTATGTTTACATATATACCTTTTGAGACATGGTCTCACTCTGTTGGCCAGGCTGGAGTGTAGTGGTGTGATCACAGCTCACTGCAGCCTTGACCTCCTTGGGCTCAGGCAGTCCTCCTGCCTCAGCCTCCTGAGTGGCTGAGACTACAGGTGCCTGCCAGTATGCCTGGCTCATTTTTTTTTTTTTTTTGTATTTTTGTAGAGACAGGGTCTTGCTTTGTTGTCCAGGCTGGTCTTGAATTCCTGGGCTCATGCAGTCCTCCAGCCTCGGCCTCCCAAAGTGCTGGGGTTATAGGCATGAGCCACCATGCCTGGCTGAGCTGTGCATTTATTATGGGCTTAAGATAATTTGTTGAAGGAAAGAATAGCAGAGAAAAAGGCTATGATGATGGGGAGGGCTGGAGAATTCATTTTCCCAATGGAACTCAAGGCATTCTTGGTTGCCGGCAAGGGTAAGCAAAGATGCCATGAGCACCACAGCCAGCTGTCTGTGCAACCCACCCAGCCAGCCTCCCAAGCTCTGGCTGTTCTGGAGCTGGTGCCTGAGAGAAACAGGTCCACATTCCAGCTCTTGCGTGGCCTGGAGTCACTCCTGTTTTCATGCGCCCGTGACTACAACTTCCACAAATCTCGCAGGCTGTCTCTGAACTGAAGTAATGTTAGGAAGTAACTTATACACAATTGTCTGCAGTAGACAGGCTGCCCTTATTCGTTGCAGACGTGGGAACCTTAGAAGGCAGGAATGGGATGAGCACTTTGTTTTTATCTAAACTTTAAAAACTGTGGCATAATCCGTGTAATGTAAAAGTTACCATTTCAACCATCTTTAAGTGTACAGTTCAGTGGTGTGAAGCACATTCACATCATCCTGCAGCCACCACCACCATCCAAGCCCTTTTTACTTTCCCAAACCAAAACTCTGTTCCCATTAAACACCTGCTCCCCATTCTCCTCCCCCAGCCCCTGGCACCCACAGTTCTACTTCCTGTCTCTGAGAATCTGACTACCCCAAGGACGTCATAGGAGTACATATTTGCAACAGGATAATTTTACTCAGCAAAATGTCCTCAAGGTTCATCCACACTGCAGTGGGTGTTGGGATTTCCTTTATGTATTTGTGGACCACGTTCTGTTGATCCATTCATCATCAGTGGATGCTTGGACTGCTTCCGGCCCCGGGGGCTGTCATGAACAATGCTGCTAAGGATGTGGGTATCACAATATCTGTCCAAGGCCTTGATTTCAATTCTCCTGGGTAGCTACCAGAAGTGCAATTTCTGGATCATATAGCAGTTCCAGCTTTAACTTTTTGAGAAACTACCATACCGTATTGAGTTTTGTTAAGTCCATTGTGTTGTGACAAGTCATTAAATAATAATACACCTTTAAAGATTAAGTATTTAATTTTAAAAGGCTTTTAGATCTGAGTTACTGATGTGATCAAAACCTTTGTAACAGTGAGAAAAAGCTGTTGGGCTATTGGCATCAGCAAGTTAGAGAAGGCTGCCACAGCAACAGGAGATTGCCCTGTAGATATTGTGCGTACGATAAGGAGACCCTAACTCAAATACGTTCCTGTTGCTATTTTAAAGAGATGCTAAGATCTCGTCCAGTGAGCATATGAGAATCGGGGGCACTGAAGACATGGCTTGGCTGCAGATATGTGAGCCGACAGAGAAGGATAAAGGAAAATACACTTTTCAGATTTTTGATGGCAAAGATAATCATCAGCGTTCCCTCGACCTGTCCGGACAAGGTAAAATAATTCTTTGGCATTTAATAATTTTCTATGTAGAAATCCATTTAGATGCTGAAAGCAGCGAACACAATATGAATACAGGAGACAGTACGAATTTATGATGTTCGTGTAGAGAAAATGAAAAAATCAGTTTATTAATTTTTTTATGTATCAGTTTCCATGAATCAGATTCACTGGTAGACTATTTGAGGAATAAATAAAACCTGAACACTGAAATGGTTAATAATGTATGAATTATTTTCCTACAGCATTTGATGAAGCATTTGCAGAATTCCAACAACTCAAGTAAGATTTGCATATTTTGTTATTACGATATCATTTTAGGGGCAATTGAGCCCCAGTCATTTTGGCTGCATGGGGAACCTGTATGGAAGCCTTGGTGATCCAAAGAAAGAGCCATTCCTGGCAAAGAAGTGGCAATTTAAGCAATGCAATATGTGGAGGGCAGGCACTCTCACAAACCAGAAATGATTTATAAATGAACTATCCAGAGTCATAGTGACCCCAGGTGAAGTTTGGAAATAATTATTGTAAGAGTTGAAGAAAGAGAAAAGAAACATGAAAAGCGGCCTAACAGTCAGACAGGTTTATTTTGGAGAATAAACCTGAGGGGACCTTCTGGCTGATTTCCGTCAGGAGTGCTTTCTCTTACAGACTAAGGGTATTTATGGGTCTGGAAGGGAGATCTTATAGCAGGCTAGGAATGTTTCTGTGTGGAGGAGAGTTTTATTGTGGGATTGGAATGTTTCTGGTTGGAGGGAAGGTTGTCTCAGGGTTGGCATGTTTCTGGTTGGAGGTATCATTTGTGGTTTATGGTCATGCTGACATTAGCCATTAAGCTGATGTTTTCAGGCTGGATTTAGGCGATTTCTAATCAAGGAAAGCTTAAAATGGCAATGCTTGTCCAAGATGGTGATGCTGCTGCTCTGTCAATTATCATCAGAGCAGCGCCTCACGCAGAGCAGCTTTTTAAGGAAATTTGGGGATTTTTCAAATGTACGATCAAGTTTTTGCACATCCGAAGCTGACCACAGTCCAATAAACATTTGTTGATTGGGTGCAGGGATGAACAAGACAGATCAAAAACTGACAAGTTCAGAAAAGATCTCAAGTCTCCAGGGCAATCTGGTGAATTTGTTAAAAAAATAAATCACTTCAACCTGTGAGCTGGAATGCTAAACTTTTCTGTGGGTTTTAGCATCTGGATAATAGGGCATTTTCTACCTCAAAATGGGCAGTGGGAACCATCAGGAAAAAATCTATGATATCCATCCTGGGATCCTGTGACCTGAACATGTTCTTCTAAGAGAATGCAAATATATTTCCTGCTTTCTTTTGCTCTCATTGCTAGCGAACCTCTCAGCTGTGCCTTTTGTTGGAAGCACTTTCTCATATTCTCTTTTTGTTCTCTCCTCTCTGCCCCCTTTAACCTTTAGGGCTGCTGCTTTTGCAGAGAAGAGTAAGTACCTGTCAGATTATAACCAGAATGGCGTATTATTTTGGGTGGGGCAAAAGGGCTTGCATTTTAGAGTACCAACTTTGTATATTAAATAATAACCAGCAATCCCCCACCCTGATATAACAATGCCACCAACATTGCACCCTGTCCTGGAGCCCCACGTCCTGCACCACTGGCGCCTGCACTGCTTTTGGCCTTAGCTCCTTCACCCCTTGGGCCCCCTCCCTCCCTCCTCTCCTCCGTCCTCCCTTGCAGAACCTACAGCCCAGACCCCCAGGACCTCTTCACTTGGGACAGAAGTCTTGCTCTTGTTGCTCAGGCTGGAGTGCAATGGCATGATCTTGGCTCACTGCAATCTCCACCTGCCAGGTTCAAGTGATTCTTGTGCCTCAGCCTCCCAAGTAGCTGGGATTACCGGCATGCACTACCATGCCTGGGTAATTTTTGTAGTTTTAGTAGAGATGGGGTTTCATGTTGGCCAGGCTGGTCTTGAACTCCTGGCCTCAAGCGATCTGCCCACCTTGGCGTCCCAAAGTGCTGGGATTACAGGTGTGACCCACCTTGCCAGGCCAGGACACCTTTGCTTTCTGCCCAATTCAAGGACACATGTGGCTCTCTGAGCCTTCAGTCCCTCCCGCATCTCACATTTCCTCTGGAGTATTTCGCGTCCTACCTTTTCACAGCGTCTGTTATCTCCTCGCCTTTGTTCCGTTGGCTTTGGTTTATCCCTCAGTTGTACACATGTAAATCATTTTCTTTGGTGCTCTCTCTCTCCTGAGCATAAGCTCCTTCCTACATTCACCTTGGTACCCGCTGCTTCTCACACAGCCTCTGCTCTGTCTCGCAGACGTTTTCCTAACCAAGGTGATTTCCCATTGCAGATCGTGGCAGGGTGATTGGCGGTTTGCCTGACGTGGTGACTATCATGGAAGGAAAGGTAAAGATTCTAAACTAGGCCGGGGCGGGGGTGTCAGCACGGTGCAGGTGCAAGGGATGCAACCCCTCCTTTTGGGGTAAAGGAGAGGGAGCCCAGCAAGGGGCTTCTGTGTCCTAAGCCAGCCTGCAGGGAACTCAGAGCTCCCCTGACTTTCTTGCCCCTCCTAGATGGCCTGGGATAACCCCTGTATTCTCAAAGGAAAGAATCGCTTAGCGTTCTGAATTCACAAACCTGTGGTCACAGGGATGTGTTGTGCCACTTGGGCACCTCAAGGCAGGCGCTGTGGCTATAGGTGTTTCTAGGCCCTCAGGGTCTGCCAGGGTCTGATGCTACCTGCCCCTGTGGCCATTCACCCAGAGGGGCAACTGCAGGACAAGGTGGTCACACCCCCCATGGCCCACCAGCCTGTGTGAAGCTGCAAGCCACCTGCTTCCAGTGTGAAACAGCACAGCTTTACAACATGAAAGAAAAAAATCTCTGCTCCTATTCTCAAGGTCATTATGGAATACATCGTGGAAACCACTTATTGGAGTTTTAATTTGTTGCCTTTCAGTAGAATTATTGATATCTAATTGTACTTCTCCGGTTGCATCAGTGGTTCTAACTCAATGTCACGGGGACACAGATACTTGAGAGAATTTTATGAGGCCAAAATAGAAAAATTTATAGACCTCTTCTTTAGCAGCTGAGGAAAGCCTAGAGAACTCTTGAGATCTCATCTTAAGGATGTAATTGAGAAATTAGCAATTGTTTTGCTTTATCCTAGGCCAAAAGCATGTTTAAACTGACCTTCAATAATGCATTTTTTTTGCCTCCAATTTACCAGTTATAAGACAATATATTCATTGGATTTGCCAGAGGAACTGGTAAGAGGGATCCATAAGTCTAAATATAAAGGAAATTTAGTAGCAGGCTGGATTTATCTACTATAAAACATAGAGCTTAATTAAATCACTTTCACATTCTTTCACTGACATAGGGCTTGGACAAAAGCTGAGAATACACAGGACACATTCTCACTGATTTGTTTTGTGAGCTCCCCTGTGGAGGGGTGCGCCTGGGCCCTGGCTGGCTGTCCTCTGGCTGCTCTGTCTAGAGTGGCATTTACATACAGAAAGCCTTCTTGCTAAACAAATGACTGAAGGGCCCATAAATTTAACTGAGTGTGACCTGGAGCACGTCATCTCAGGGGATAATACAACTTACCTCTTTCTAACTCTTCCTTCCCCACCAACCTCTTCCTTCCGAAGACCTTGAATCTGACCTGCACGGTGTTTGGAAACCCTGACCCCGAAGTGGTTTGGTTCAAGAATGACCAGGACATTGAGCTCAGCGAGCACTTCTTGGTGAAGGTGGAACAGGCCAAGTACGTCAGCATGACCATCAAAGGCGTGACCTCCGAGGACTCGGGCAAGTACAGCATGAACGTCAAGAACAAGTACGGCGGGGAGAAGATCGACGTGACGGTGAGCGTGTACAAACACGGAGAGAAGATCCCGGACGTGGCGCCGCCCCAGCAGGCCAAGCCCAAGCTCATCCCAGCGTCTGCCTCAGCGCCAGGCCAGTGAAGGCGTCTTCCCAGCCTGGAGACGGGAAACCTCTTGGCAGAGCCAGGAATGCTGTGGGCTTGTTCCAAGTGAGCGGCCGGCGTCGGAGTGGCATCCTGTGTGCGCTGATAGTTGACCATGCATTGTGCTTTGATTTTTGCATTTGGTGATGATTATTTTTTACCCATCCAAGGGGGAAAGCTAATGTTTTCCACTAGACTAAGCAACATGTGTTTACAGGAGCGTAGACTGCAGATACTGGCGGAGGGTGGGTTGGCAGATGACACGAGCATTTTCACGGGTGTAGGCACGTGGGCGTGACACCCAGGCGTGTGTGTGTAGCATGTGGCGGTCTGTGTGAAGCCACTGAGAAGCCACCGTGCTGTCGCTTGCTCTTTAGGGGCTGTGAGATCTCGCAGTGCTGGAATCCTGGCTGTGGAGGCTTTGAAGCATGTGTTATCTGGTGACGCTTGTTTTCTCTTGCTTTAGGCAAATAAAACTTTAAAAATCACCTTGGTGTGGTTTTTCTGTAGCAATTCATGCCTGCCTGCACCTGCTCACCCTCCTGGCTTAATTCTGTGTCACCAGGCACTTTCATGGCCAGTGGGGTGCAGACAGCACCCTCACAGTCCAGAGAGCAGGGCAAGGTGAATCACACCGCAAAGCCCCTCCGACCCGTGGGGCTGAGTGACAGGGAGCCCATCGCCAGCCCCAAGCGGCACCCAAGACAGCACCAGTCCTAAGAACTGTGCGTTTCGTGCAAGGCTTAGAAAGGCCACCTAGTGATTATACTGCAGGCCTAAAAGTCTCTGTACAGGAAAACGCTGTGTGTAGATGGCTCTGTTCTTTTTAAGTGTGTGAATGAATGAGGAAGGGATTTAAAAAGAAAGAAGGCACTCATTTCGAATGATCACTGTAGCAGCCACGGAGGAAAAATAAAATCTTGGCTGAAGTTTAAAAAAAAAAAAGTTTAGGAGGAACATGTCCTGTCTTTGAACTTTTTCTTCCTTTGTTCAGAAAGAGGCTGAAATTCCTCTGGCATAAAAATACCATTTCAATATTTTAGTTTTAGTGTTGCTTTATGAGAGAAAATGCTTTGATAATTAAGAAACTTTCTGTGTCATTAAGGCCAATCCAAATTGTACGACATTTTGTTATATTTTTCCAAGGGAATAATACAAATTCTGAGAATTAAATATGTCCCCAGTAACATAAAGCCGGCTGAGCTGGTTTCCATGGCAGTGAAGTGAGTATCAGCGAGAATTTATTTTCATGATTTCTCCCTTCTCTGCTGTGCAGGTGAACTCTAGTGGAGTTCTGGCTGCATGGTGGAGCCACATTTTCCAAAGCACGCTTGGCAAGAGTGGGCACAGACAGGCTTGTCTCTATTTGACCTTGATTCAGTTAAACAGATTTTGTTTATTTTCCAGTTTAAGCAGTCATTTGGGCCAGGCGCGGTGGCTCAAGCCTGTAATCCCAGCACTTTGGGAGGCCGAGGCGGGTGGATCACGAAGTCAAGAGATCGAGACCATCCTGGTCAACATGGTGAAACCCCGTCTCTACTGAAAATACAAAAAATTAGCTGGGCATGGTGGCACGTGCCTGTAATCCCAGCTACTCAGGAGGCTGAGGCAGGAGAATTGC